GCTCTAATATGACATATCTACACATATGTATGTACGTTAAAAGTAAGTTGTACAATTAAGGTAATTTTGACAACACTGACGATACTGGAATGGAAGTACCGTATTCATGAGTGGGAATGGGTTCATAGTTGGGTGAGTTTACACCACTTTACAGTGATGCTGATAATACTATCACTGATACCTGAGGTAACATTAACAGTAACACTTGTATGGTGATAGCACTGATATATACACTAGAGATATAGACAGATGTACACTATTTTTATTTTCATATACAGTATACACAGTGAGTCTACTTACTCTCTGGGGCTATGTAGGGGAGCCGGTCGGCCGAGCGGACAGCACACTGGACTTGTGATCCTATGGTCCTTGGTTCGATCCCAGGCGCCGGCGAGAAACATTGGGCAGAGTTTCTTTCACCCTATGCACCTGTTACCTAGCAGTAAAATAGGTACCTGGGTGTTAGTCAGCTGTCACGGGCTGCTTCCTGGGGGTGGAGGCCTGGTCGAGGACCGGGCCGCGGGGACACTAAAGCCCCGAAATCATCTCAAGATAACCTCAAGATAACCTATATGTTCAGTAGTGAGGTAAACGGTGTATTGAGGTGGCCTCTAAAACCCTCCAGAGGGTAACAGGCCTTAGGCCCAACAGCTAACTAATATTACCAGTGGAAACAGAATTATGTAAAAGGAAAACAAAAATATTACAAAAATCAATAGATAGCTTTTGTGTAAACTTTTTCTCTGAAGTTGGGTTAGTTTACCACTGGGAATGGTTTACTGCCACGGGAATGGTATATACCGCTGAAACTCGCCATGCGCATGACAGGAGATTAAGGTCACGAGGTTAACTGTCCACCTGTCATGATGTAATTGGGGTTATGTGGGGGTATGTGGGGGTATGTGGGGGTATGTGGGGGTATGTGGGGGAATATGGGGGATGTGGGGCTAGTTGGTCCTCTCCACACCAGACATGAGGGGTGAGGCCACACACTTTTGCATTATACTGTATTTATATTCTCTCTCATTCCTCCCGTCTCTCTCCCTTTACTGCGTTCGTCATCCTCTTCTGTCATTCACCGTGGTGCCGTGGGTAATGGACGGCAGCCAGGAGGACGAGACGGTCCCAGCAGCAGCAGCAGCAGCAGCCAGGAGGACGAGACGGTCCCAGCAGCAGCAGCAGCAGCCAGGAGGACGAGGCGGTCCCAGCAGCAGCAGCCAGGAGGACGAGGCGATCCCAGCAGCAGCAGCAGCCAGGAGGACGAAACGGTCCCAGCAGCAGCAGCAGCCAGGAGGACGAGGCGGTCCCAGCAGCAGCAGCAGCCAGGAGGACGAGACGGTCCCAGCAGCAGCAGCAGCCAGGTGGACGAGGCGGTCCCAGCAGCAGCAGCAGCCAGGAGGACGAGACGGTCCCAGCAGCAGCAGCAGCAGCAGCAGCAGCAGCCAGGAGGACGAGACGGTCCCAGCAGCAGCAGCAGCCAGGAGGACGAGACGGTCCCAGCAGCAGCAGCAGCAGCCAGGAGGACGAGACGGTCCCAGCAGCAGCAGCAGCAGCAGCAGCAGCCAGGAGGACGAGACGGTCCCAGCAGCAGCAGCCAGGAGGACGAGACGGTCCCAGCAGCAGCAGCAGCCAGGAGGACGAGACGGTCCCAGCAGCAGCAGCAGCCAGGAGGACGAGACGGTCCCAGCAGCAGCAGCAGCCAGGAGGACGAGGCGGTCCCAGCAGCAGCAGCAGCCAGGAGGACGAGACGGTCCCAGCAGCAGCAGCAGCCAGGAGGACGAGGCGGTCCCAGCAGCAGCAGCAGGAGCCAGGAGGACGAAACGGTCCCAGCAGCAGCAGCCAGGAGGACGAGGCGGTCCCAGCAGCAGCAGCAGCCAGGAGGACGAGACGGTCCCAGCAGCAGCAGCAGCCAGGTGGACGAGGCGGTCCCAGCAGCAGCAGCAGCCAGGAGGACGAGACGGTCCCAGCAGCAGCAGCAGCCAGGTGGACGAGGCGGTCCCAGCAGCAGCAGCAGCCAGGAGGACGAGACGGTCCCAGCAGCAGCAGCAGCAGCCAGGAGGACGAGGCGGTCCCAGCAGCAGCAGCAGCCAGGAGGACGAGACGGTCCCAGCAGCAGCAGCAGGAGCCAGGAGGACGAAACGGTCCCAGCAGCAGCAGCAGCCAGGAGGACGAGGCGGTCCCAGCAGCAGCAGCAGCAGCCAGGAGGACGAAACGGTCCCAGCAGCAGCAGCAGCCAGGAGGACGAGGCGGTCCCAGCAGCAGCAGCAGCAGCCAGGAGGACGAAACGGTCCCAGCAGCAGCCTGGAGGACGAGGCGGTCCCAGCAGCAGCAGCAGCAGCCAGGAGGACGAGGCGGTCCCAGCAGCAGCAGCAGCCAGGAGGACGAAACGGTCCCAGCAGCAGCAGCAGCAGCCAGGAGGACGAGGCGGTCCCAGCAGCAGCAGCAGCCAGGAGGACGAGACGGTCCCAGCAGCAGCAGCAGGAGCCAGGAGGACGATACGGTCCCAGCAGCAGCAGCAGCAAGGAGGACGAGGCGGTCCCAGCAGCAGCAGCAGCAGCCAGGAGGACGAAACGGTCCCAGCAGCAGCAGCAGCCAGGAGGACGAGGCGGTCCCAGCAGCAGCAGCAGCAGCCAGGAGGACGAAACGGTCCCAGCAGCAGCCTGGAGGACGAGGCGGTCCCAGCAGCAGCAGCAGCAGCCAGGAGGACGAGGCGGTCCCAGCAGCAGCAGCAGCCAGGAGGACGAAACGGTCCCAGCAGCAGCAGCAGGAGCCAGGAGGACGAGACGGTCCCAGCAGCTCCTCCTCAGGCCTGAGGTGAAGACGAGGGTTGGCTCCTGGTAGACCATTAGGGAGCCGGCTGAGGTGGTGACGAGGGACGCCTCACGCTACTGTACCTCACAACATGTCATCGCCCCTTACATTCCGTCACCACACGTCAACACTCAGCGGCGCTCTGCCACCCTCCACCTGACTCTGCCGCCCTCCACCTGACTCTGCCACCCTCCACCTGACTCTGTCACCCGCCACCTGACTCTGCCACCCTCCACCTGACTCTGCCACCCGCCACCTGACTCTGCCGCCCTCCACCTGACTCTGCCACCCTCCACCTGACTCTGCCACCCGCCACCTGACTCTGCCACCCTCCACCTGACTCTGCCACCCGCCACCTGACTCTGCCACCCGCCACCTGACTCTGCCACCCGCCACCTGACTCTGCCACCCTCCACCTGACTCTGCCACCCACCACCTGACTCTGCCACCCTCCACCTGACTCTGCCGCCCTCCACCTGACTCTGCCACCCTCCACCTGACTCTGCCACCCGCCACCTGACTCTGCCGCCCTCCACCTGACTCTGCCACCCTCCACCTGACTCTGCCACCCTCCACCTAACCCACGACACCACCTGGCACAGTATTGGTGAGGCGTCGAAACGTTCCTAGTGGAGGACACTCTACAGGAGGGGGTGTAGTAGAGCAGGCTCTCCCGGGGCCCCCGCTACCACACTCTCAACCTCTTCACAACCTGTTTGAACTTTTTCAAGGCGTGTTATATAATACGGCTGGCAGTGGCGGCGACGCTGCCAGGGACGGCCAGGGACGCTAGCCCAAGCTACAGTGCGGATTGAAAGTGACGGGGAGTATGCAAACGAGATTAGACAGTGCCCAGGGGACGGGAGTCGTGACAGCCCCGCCGTCCGGGCGACAGACAGGGGAAAGGCCCTGGGACGCTAGTTAGTTCCCGTCTCCCCACCCCCCCCCCCACCACCACCCTGTAAATAATACGATAGTTTTGGACACGTCAAGGGCTCCCAGACGTCAAGGGCTCCCAGACGTCAAGGGCTCCCAGACGTCAAGGGCTTCCAGACGTCAAGGGCTCCCAGGCGTCAAGGGCTCCCAGACGTCAAGGGCTCCCAGGCGTCAAGGGCTCCCAGACGTCAAGGGCTCCCAGGCGTCAAGGGCTGCCAGACGTCAAGGGCTGCCAGACGTCAAGGGCTCCCAGGCGTCAAGGGCTCCCAGGCGTCAAGGGCTCCCAGGCGTCACGGGCTCCCAGGCGTCACGGGCTCCCAGGCGTCAAGGGCTCCCAGGCGTCAAGGGCTCCCAGACGTCAAGGGCTCCCAGGCGTCAAGGGCTGCCAGACGTCAAGGGCTCCCAGACGTCAAGGGCTCCCAGGCGTCACGGGCTCCCAGGCGTCAAGGGCTCCCAGGCGTCACGGGCTCCCAGACGTCAAGGGCTCCCAGGCGTCAAGGGCTGCCAGACGTCAAGGGCTGCCAGGCGTCAAGGGCTCCCAGGCGTCAAGGGCTCCCAGGCGTCAAGGGCTGCCAGACGTCAAGGGCTCCCAGGCGTCAAGGGCTCCCAGGCGTCAAGGGCTCCCAGGCGTCAAGGGCTCCCAGGCGTCAAGGGCTCCCAGGCGTCACGGGCTCCCAGACGTCACGGGCTCCCAGGCGTCAAGGGCTCCCAGGCGTCAAGGGCTCCCAGGCGTCAAGGGCTCCCAGGCGTCAAGGGCTCCCAGGCGTCAAGGGCTCCCAGGCGTCAAGGGCTCCCAGGCGTCACGGGGTCCCAGACGTCACGGGCTCCCAGGCGTCAAGGGCTCCCAGGCGTCAAGGGCTCCCAGGCGTCACGGGGTCCCAGACGTCACGGGCTCCCAGGCGTCAAGGGCTCCCAGGCGTCACGGGCTCCCAGGCGTCACGGGCTCCCAGGCGTCAAGGGCTCCCAGGCGTCAAGGGCTCCCAGGCGTCCCATACCAACTTCACCATCACAAGTGAAGAAAAAATAGAGAAGAATCTTGCTAGAATCATTGATCTCATCCATTGTGTCAATTCAGTATTATATATATAACATTACACTATCATGACAGGAGCCGGTCGGCCGAGCGGACAGCACGCTGGACTTGTGATCCTGTGGTCCTGGGTTCGATCCCAGGCGCCGGTGAGAAACAATGGGCAGAGTTTCTTTCACCTTATGCCCCTGTTACCTAGCAGTAAAATAGGTATCTGGGTGTTTGTCAGCTGTCACGGGCTGCTTCCTGGGGGTGGAGGCCTGGTCGAGGACCGGGCCGCGGGGACACTAAAGCCCCGAAATCATCTCAAGATAACCTCAAGATAGATCATCCGGGGGACCATGGCGGTGGGTCCAAGTGGTGGGGAGGGGGGAGCGGCAGGTGTGGGGGGGATACCTGTTCTCGTTATAGCACGTCGCATTTTGACGTACACTTTACTCGCGAAATTGACATAATGTCCCGTTTTCTGTTCGTGGGTCCTCTGGTAGGTTAGGATAAGGTCACTTTAGGATGACCGTTTCTTGACGTTGGGCTTTACCGTTTGCGAGAACAGACTGGCTAGGGGACTGTGTTGAGGAGGAGCCGTGGGGAGGAGCCGTGGGGAGGGGCCGTGGGGAGGAGCCGTGGGGAGGAGCCGTGGGGAGGGGCCGTGGGGAGGAGCCGTGGGGAGGAGCCGTGGGGAGGAGCCGTGGGGAGGAGCCGTGGGGAGGAGCCGTGGGGAGGGGCCAAGGGGAGGAGGAGGCAGGGCCTACACAAACAGGCGTCAGGCCGGGAATGGAGAGGCCGGTGACAAGCACAACTCCTCCTAGACTCATTGTCATGCCCCGCTGACGGCTTAATGGCGCCCCGAGGCTGAGGCCTGGCCCGCGCTGGTCCAGCTGGCCCGCGCTGGTCCAGCTGGCCCGCGCTGGTCCAGCTGGCCCGGCACCGGTACACAGGGAGCGGTCACCTAGGAACACCTCACACGGTAACACACGCGGCAGTTATGTAGACAATTTACAGCAGGAGGCAGGGAGGAAGGGAAGTATCAGGGGAAAGCGCCAAGCCATTACGACTATATTGCACATGGAAGGGGTCAGGATAAGAGATTTGGGATGGGACGGTGGGGAAGGAATGGTGCCCAACCACTTGGACGGTCGGGGATTGAACGCCGACCTGCATGAAGCGAGACCGTCCAGCAACGACGCTATTCGGGAGGTGGAAAAAATATGGTATCACTCTTGTCTTAGTTGCCCAACCACTTGGGCTGGACGGTAGAGCGACGATCTCGCTTCATGTAGATCGGCGTTCAATCCCCGACTATCCAAGTGGTTGGGCACCATTCCTTCCCCACCGTCCCATCCCAAATCCTTATCCTAACCCCCTTCCACGTGCTATATAGTCGTAATGGCATGGCGCTTTCCCCTGATAATTCCCTCCCTTCCTGTCTTGGTAGACAAGAGTGATAAATAAAATATATCCAAACACACTAGAGAAAGACGACATCATCCGTTAATGGCATGAATGGCAGAGAGATTTACAGGTGGCTGTTTTGAGAGGGCAGGAGCCACCAGGAGCCACCAGGAGCCACCAGGAGCCACCAGGAGCCACCAGGAGTCACTAGGAGCCACCAGGAGCCACCAGGAGCCACCAGGAGTCACTAGGAGCCACCAGGTGCCACCAGGAACCACCAGGAGCCACCAGGTGTCACCAGGTGCCATCAGGAGCCACTAGCGGCCACCAGGAGCCACTGTAGGTGCCATCAGGAGCTACTAGGTGCCACCAGGAGCCACCAGGAGTCACCAGGTGCCACAAGGAGCCACCAGGTGCCATCAGGAGCCACTAGCGGCCACCAGGAGCCACTAGCGGCCACCAGGAGCCACTAGCGGCCACCAGGAGCCACCAGGAGCCACTAGCGGCCACCAGGAGCCACTAGCGGCCACCAGGAGCCACTAGCGGCCACCAGGAGCCACTAGCGGCCACCAGGAGCCACTAGCGGCCACCAGGAGCCACCAGGAGCCACTAGCGGCCACCAGGAGCCACCAGGAGCCACTAGCGGCCACCAGGAGCCACTAGCGGCCACCAGGAGCCACCAGGAGCCACTAGCGGCCACCAGGAGCCACCAGGAGCCACTAGCGGCCACCAGGAGCCACTAGCGGCCACCAGGAGCCACCAGGAGCCACCAGGAGCCACTAGCGGCCACCAGGAGCCACCAGGATCCACTAGCGGCCACCAGGAGCCACCAGGAGCCACTAGCGGCCACCAGGAGCCACTAGCGGCCACCAGGAGCCACCAGGAGCCACTAGCGGCCACCAGGAGCCACTAGCGGCCACCAGGAGCCACCAGGAGCCACTAGCGGCCACCAGGAGCCACCAGGATCCACTAGCGGCCACCAGGAGCCACTAGCGGCCACCAGGAGCCACCAGGTGCCACCAGGTGCCACCAAGTGCCACCAGGTGCCACAGGACGGAAGGGGTGAAGGTGAAGGCAACCGTCAACATCACATTATAGGCAGCACCGACGTGAGATTTGCGAAAGATTGTCCTCGTCTCATCCATCTCCTGTCTCGCGCCTCCTCGCCCTGCCCGTCGCTGCTCTGCCAGTTATAAACTACGTTTATGTTGCAACATTTATTTAGCCTTGTAGTTTATGCTTGTTGCAGCGAGTGTGTAAACAGCGCGGGGCAGCTGTTGCGCAGTTTTGGCGTGACGGGACAAGAGGGTGAGGGCTTGTGAGTTTGTGGTCCCGCGGTGATCCCGGAGTAGGTTTTTGTAGGGAGCAAGGCTGAAGGTGTCTCCGTCATCTCAGCTCCACACAGCTTCATCAGGAGAGGTAAGGTCGCCATGCATGAGTAGCGAGGTAGAGGGCAGGGGGGAGGGTCGAGGGCAAGGGGGGGGTAGGGGCAGAAGGCAGGGGGGGGGGGCTAGAGGGTAGGGGGAACAAAAGGCAGGGGGGCTAGAGGGTAGAGGGCAGGGGGGAGGGTCGAGAGCAAGGGGGAGGGGGGGGTAGGGGCAGATGGCAGGGGGGGGGCTAGAGGGTAGGGGGAACAGAAGGCAGGGGGGCTAGAGGGTAGAGGGCAGGGGGG